TGGGAGTACCACAATGTACCATGGGAGTACCACAATGCACCATGGGAGCACCACAATGCACCATGGGAGCACCACAATGCACCATGGGAGTACCACAATGCACCATTAGGAGCACAACAGTGCACCATGGTAGTACCACAATGCACCATGGGAGTACCACAATGCACCAAGGGAGTACCACAATGCACCAAGGGAGTACCACAATGCACCATGGGAGTACCACAATGTACCATGGGAGTACCACAATGTACCATGGGAGTACCACAATGCATCATGGGAGTACCACAATGCACCACAGGAGTACTACAATGCACCATGGGAGTACCACAATGCACCATGGGAGTACCACAATGCATCAAAGGAAACCACAATGTGCCATGAGAAAACCACAATGCACCATGGGAGTTTCATTTTTAGATTATAAAAACAATATACACCACTGTGTGTTCTGAGGGACGTAAAGAGGATGAAGAGTAATTTACAATGAAAGCTAAAACCGAGCCATTCAGGGACTCCTCAATACTTAATAATCAGTAGTTGAAAGCTTGGATAAGTGTTGTCTGTTCTTAGCTGCTAGTATAAGTACTATTCCAATTACTCTCTATTGTGGCTTTGCACCTGCACTCATTTCCTGCATTCTCATATGTCAACTTTAGTTACATTCAAGTGGCAGTGTGTGTTTTTTTCAACATGAGTTGGAGGATGGCAATTTCTAATATTCTTACATGTGCTGCTATTGCTGCTATTTGAATGTCAGGGTCAACTTTCCTCACTTTTCACAAAATAAATTAAAGTTTTCTATATTTTTTAACAACTTTCATCAAATCTTTAAGCCAAAAAGAATTTGTTTATTTTATTAAAAACAACAAGGATTTTTTTTTTTCGAAAGATGCACACAAAAATTCAACAGGTGGATTTCAAAAGTTAGTTCAAAGGGTAGTGTAATTAGTCGCTACATTTAACAATAATTATTCCTTCTGAAATGCTTGTCTTAGATATTTGACCTTAAAATACATTTTATGTGTGGAGCATTATCTTCAAGTCATGCTGTCTGATTCATCTGTTAGCATACTGAGGCACATCAATTATTTTCCAGATTTTTTTCAAAATTGGCTGACTGGTGGCCATTTTATTAGTCCCCGTTCGGACGAAGTCCGAAAACTGGGACTTATGATTCGGTCTCCATGCGTCTGTGCGTCCGTCTGGAGTCATATCTCAGAATCCCTTGGACCGATTCTGTTCATTCTTTGCATGTGCCTAGTACTTTATGTGGGACATATGCACATGCAGTGGTTTAGCGATTCGATTCAAAATAGCCGACTGGCAGCCATCTTGTTTTTTGAAAATGTTGTATTTTGGACATGCTTTGTCAGTTTTCATTCAAACTTGGTACATAGATTATACATGTTAGGATACATGTCCATGACGATTTATTTCACAATTGGATCAAAGATGGCCATCTGGCAGCCATCTTTTTTTTTTTGAAAATGTCGTATTTTGGACATGCTTTGTCAGTTTTCATTCAAATTTAGTACATAGATCATACGTGTTAGGATACATGTCCCCGATCATCCGTGAGTTCCTGAGTCTGTTCGTCGTCCATGTGTCTATGCGTCAGTCTGTCCAGAGTCATATTTCAGAATTCTGTGGACCAATTCTGTTCATTCTTTGCATGTGCCTAGTACCTTATGTGGGACATATGCACATGCAGTGGTTTAGCGATACGATTAAAAATGGCCGACTGGCAGCCATCTTGTTTTTTTGAAAATGTTGTATTCTGGACATGCTTTGTCAGTTGTCATTCAAACTTGGTACATAGATTATACATGTTAGGATACATGTCCATGACGATTTATTTCGCAATTGGATTAAAGATGGTCAACTGGCAGGCATCCTGTTTTGGGTTTTTTATGCGGTATCTTGGACGTGCTCTGTCAGTTTTCATTCAAATTTGGCACATACATGTACTTTATACATGTTAGGATGACAATTTGTTTCAAAATCTGGTCAAGGATGGCCGATTGACAGCCATCCGACTTTTTGGCCTTACTACTATATTTCCACAATTTATGTACCATTTTCATTCGTATTTGGCACATACATCATACATATCAGTGTGTTTCATAATCAGATCAAAGATGGTCAAATAACGGCTGTTTTTATTTTTGGCCATATTACTACAATACGGAACACGTGTTTTACAATCTCTTGTATGCGCCACTTGGAACTCAAGTTTCAAGGACACGCTCGCAACAATCCCTCTGCTTTAATACGACAAGCACAAAGAGAACTTTCAAAAATTTAACGGGGACTGTGTCATTTTCAATGACTTAATGATAAAAAAAATCTTTATTTTTGTTCATTTTTTACTTATACTTTGGGATAACAATTACTAAGTTTGTTCAGATTTGGTACAGAGGCAGTATATTATTTCGCAAAGATGAAAGTTGAATTTTTGTGGTTTATATCTCAAATTCACACAATCCAATTAGATCCAAAACTTGGTTCATGAACAATTATGTTCTAGCACAGCAACGAAATTTGATTTGTGTAACAATCCAATCCATCATTGTTATCTGTCAGCCATTTTGTTTGACAAAAGTCTGCAATTTGGTTTAATACCTAAAATCTGGAGTTTTCATCTATTTTTGTTCAATTCTGCATATATCTCAAATTCTTGCTGCCAAGGTAGATCCAAACTTGGTTCACAGACAATTGTGTTTTAGCACATCAACAAATGTTGACTTGTGTAACAACTTTATCCATGATTGTTAACTGTCAGCCATTCTGTTTGACAAAAATCTTCAATTTTTCTCAAATTTTTATCTCAAATTCATACTGCCCAAGTATGCTGCAACTGCTGCTGTATCAATCATACGATTTAATATGAATTTCAATATTGCCTCTTTAAACTATCGGTCTTGATAAATACTCTCTGAAAATGTAATCTTGGAGCAACATCCATTAGTTGTTTGAAGTGTTATTATTTCAAAATGTATTTAAACTATTTCATTAAAAGCCGTATTCTTTAATCACATTTTCTGCAGCTATTAAATAGCTTATCTCACTGGGTGTATTTTGCAAATGATCGATTTGCGGCATATATTAAAGACATTGGATATTGACCATCTTGCTTCTCTTCTGGAGAGTATTATTGTTTTCATAAATAAAAATGAACGAGAAAATGATCATCGGTGTTGTTTCATGTGTCATCAAGTTTTATCTCATGGTTACACCAACCTCAGTCTTTTAATTTGCATAAAATTATCTTGGTCATGTTCAATTAAGTTGTGTTTTGTTTAATGAAATTACATATTTTCCTAACCACCTGGCTGCATTTACACTTAAGTTAAACTGAAAATTTCAGTATTTACATATGGGATGTTTTTTTGTATCTTATGTAAATTACTTGTGATGTCAAAAACAGTATAAAGAACAGCAAGGTGCATCAAAATGTGTATTCCCTCAAAAGGATGGCGCTGAGCAACTTTGTTGTGTTTTATTTAAAGCATGGTACTAAAGTAACTGCTATTCCTCCAATAAAGTTAGATTAATAATTTACAGCTGAAACTACATGTATGAAGTTGTATTGTAGGCAAAACGTAGTTGAAAGCCGTTTTAATTTTGAGTACCTTGGCCAAAAAGCAAATTCGAATGTAAAGCTGTTAGTGAGTTATATTGATCAAAATCTGAAACATTGCCATTTATTGATTAAGTTGTATTTTGATCATTGTGAGGTGCATCAGAAATGCACGAGATGATTTTTTTTCATTAGAAAATCTTTTTTTGTGAAGAATTTTCCAATGAAAGATATTAAAATAATATAGTGTCACTGACATTGTTTTTGCTAGATATATGAATTCATTTTAATTAAAAACAACACTTATTAAGTTATTTTGTAAAATGGGTCACTAACCTTTTAATAATAAAACATGTGAACATGTCTTGACATCCACTGCGATGGATTCAGAACCCGACAAACTATTATTGATTATATTTAAATGACAGCTTTTTGAGATTGTTTTTTATTTTTTGGTGTGATGGATAACACTTTTCAATTGACGTGGAACCTGAATTTAATTAATTATAAGTAAAAAATCAAATGCTTAATAATTGTATCCAAGCGTTTTCAAGAAGATGATGCATCTTTTAAATTCTAGCTGTTAATGTGTTAATATATTATGGTGACTGGCAACGACACCTCATGTGGTGTAAGGTTGTTAATAATAATCCTGGGTAATCATCATTTGATACATCTCTAGCAATATTTACTATACATACATGTATTAGTACCTATTACAAGAAAATGTGATCACCATTTATCTCTTGACGGCCTGGGACATTTACAAAGTCTTACTCTGGTAGTTCAATTGAAATACATGTTATTATGATTATGTCTTTCTGGTATTTTGAAACCCATTATCTATTGGTACCGGTAGTTCTGGTTTTTAGCTCCGCTGTCGACTTTGTCGAGCGGAGCTTATCATATGAGTGATTTTCCGTTGTCTGTAGTCTGTTAACTTTTTACATTTTTGTCTTCTTCTTTAAAACCGTTAAACCAAATGCTTTCATATTTATAACATAGTCTCTTGGGGTAGTCCTCTCTCAGATTTGTTCATTTCGTGATGATATCTTCAATTCTCTAATTTTGATGAATATTTTTGTCATTTTTGGTAAAAAGTGATATTTTCAACTTCTTGTTAAAAACTGCAAGTCCAATTGCTTTGATATTATACATATAGGTACCTCAGGTAAACCTCTCTCAGATTTGTTCATTTCATGATGATATCTTCAATTGTCTCTAATTTTGATGAATATTTTTGTCATTTTAGGTAAAAAGTGATATTTTCGAATTCTTGTTAAAAACAGCTTGTCTGATTGCTCTGATACTATACATATTGTTCATTTTCTAATGATATCTTCAGTTCTTTAATTGAAATGTGCATTTCTAAGAACGGAGCTATCTCAGCCGACAGGCTGCTTGTTAAAGAATTGCCATAAATCTTGTGCTCAAATGTCTTCTTTGATCATATCAATAACAGTGTATTATTTTGTTCGTTTGCAGCCATGTAGACTGCACATCAACTCTTGACGATCCCAGGGAAGACGAAGAGCTGTTTTTAGTGGAAAGACAAGTAAAATTGATGAGGGATTCTGTCTTGGGATTTGGTTTTGTTGCCGGCAGTGAGAAGCCTGTTATCGTTAGATCAGTTACAGAAGGTAAGAATAGTCAGAAACGCTCATTATTAATTGAGTTTAGTCTAGACCTACAGCCAGTTAAAAAATTATACCCATTTAGTACAAAATTTAAAAAAAAATTATTGAAAAATATGAAGAAAAAAAATGTACAAAAAGTGACACCATAAATTTTACAATTCTAGGAGGTCCATGTGATGGTAAATTATTTTCTGGTGATGAAATCCTTCGAATAAATAATGAAGATGTGAAAAAACTCAACCGGGAATATGTCATAAACAAAGTCAGGTAAGTTTCAACGCTTGGTAATTATTCACGTTACTTAATATACCAATGCACAGTTTATGGGGTCAATCTGACATGATTCAGACACTTAAGCAATTTCAGATTATTTGTTGCTCTCCTCTATTTTCACTTCACAATGAACAACAAAGTGGAGTAATTGGCATCCTATCCAGTAACCATGTTTAACTTGAATGTTTTTATGCCCCTAAACTAGGTTCTGATGGAGTATATATAATACAAAAACCATTTCAAAATTACAATGCCTAGATTTGACATTTAATGCTTTATTTTACTTTGCTTAAAGTACTGTATGTCGATTTGGGCTCTAGCATGTTTGAACTTAATTCTATTCAAGTCATTTATTTTATTATTTATTTTATTATTTGTTTTATTATTTGTTTGTGTTTGTTGATACAATAAATAAGTCACATGAATCACACTTTTTTTTTAAATTGGTAATTACTGAACAAAGACCCACTAATCATGGGGTGATCATAATCAAACCTGTTGTATCCAGCCTGGTTGCCATGGTACTGCCTCCCGAGGGAGATTGAGTTTTAGTCCACAGCATGGTGTCTCACAGCTCTGTGGAAACTGGATGAGAAATTGATAGTTAGATTGTGATCACATGTCTGAATGATAGTTAGCTTACATTTAAAATGTATCAGTAATAATAATAATAATAATAATAATAATAATAATAACTATAATATTAATAATAAAATCAATCATTGGTTTCAAAATACACTGTAGCCTCGTTCTAACAAACTCTTTGGGGGACATACAATTAGTTTGTTATAGTGAAATGTTCACTATAATGAAGCACATAATACATTGGGTTTGTTGTGAGCGGGAGACATGCTATGTGTTCATTATATCAGGAAATTCATTATAATGGTGTTCATTATATTGAGGTTACAGTGCTGTGTGTAAATCAACATGTACTCCATCCCAAATCCCAACCGCTAAGTAAGCCATCCTTTATCTCCCTCACTTTTGTCTTCTCGCCAAAAAATATACCTGCATAAGTTTTTCTATAAAATTTTAAACATGAATGAATGTCTACGATGCACATCATGTTTGGGAAGTCCCTCAGGTGATCTAATTGCAGTGAATTAACCCCCCCTTCAGAATCACACAGTTAATAAAATGTGGACACATTCCTCCTAAGCCTTTTCATGTGGACACATACCCACTAACTCTTTTCATATGAACACATACCCCCTAACCCTTTTCATATGAACACATACCCCCAACCCTTTTCATATGAACACATACCCC